GGATGCTTAGGGTTTGTAGGGTGTTAAGGTTTAGGTAATGTGTGTTTAGGGTTTAGGGTTTAGGGTTTAGGGTTTGGGGTTTAGGATCCTGAAAACTACAGTCAGGGGGCAAGCAACGACAGGAACTAAAACTGAGGAGAGGGTTTTAGGGTTTAGGAAGAGGGGCCAGGCAAAAGTCTACGTAGTTGCTTGCCACTAAGACCCTGAAGTCTACACACTTAACCGAAAAGGTCGCTTACATCCCAAGTTTGTCATATTCAATCTATGGGAGCTTCAGAAAAATTGAAGGCGACCCCCCAACCGTCAAATCCGAAGCCTAAAATTCCGAGCATAGGCTCAACTTATACCAACCGCGGCAGGTACAGAAACAAACAGAGGTAAAATTTGCCAATGATGAAAACTGAGAAACCATGATGTCCAAAGCGCGGGCTGAGCCTCTTACGTTCATCACTCCGCTGCAGAACTCCTGTGCATATGGGCATATTAGTCTCTAAATTAGGGTCCCTTTTATTGTCCTTTTTTGTAAGGATGCCGCACTTTGGGGACCTAAACAGGGACCCCAATTTAGAGAATTATGACCACATGGAGTGTAGATGTCTTTTTTGTTCGCTGGGGGCTCTGTATGTTAGGCTTCATTGTCTGGGATTCAGGGGTCGAGAGCTTCGGCTAGCCGCTTAGAGCTCAGGGCGAAGTTTCACGAGCAGGTTAGGATAATGATGACAGGTTACCCCCAAGGGGTCCAAAGGTGATGCTCAATGCTGATCTTGCCTTGATAGATTATCGCCAACGTTAGTCCCAACTGCAACTGAACTGAAGACAGCATGCCGCCGAAACGCCTGCACCGTGATCTTGCCGTCACCATCATCCAAAATGTCAAACAGATTCCGCACATCGTGCACATGTATATCCAAGAGGGCCATGTACCGCTTGATAATCGGGTGATCCAGATGCTCGATGAACTCTTGGTAAGAAACGGAACCACTATCATCACCGTCCATGGTGTGGAAGACGTCTTTCAGCTTGCTCTGATACATTTGCGACGTCCTCTTGCTTTCGTCAATCTGCAACTCTGCATCATTGGCTGCGTTGGCAAGTGTCTCCTTCAAAAATATGGCTGTTACGATCCTTGGTTCTCTTCTGCAGTCCTGGCGGCAAGAAGTCCTGAACCTCCCCTAAACCCTAAACCCTAAACCCTTTTATTTTTTTACATAAGACTCGATCCTAAGGCCTTGGCGTTGAAGCTATCTCCCGAAAGCCTCCTCATGGATGGCCAAGGCACCGGAGCAGTGCGAAGACGACAAGCGTAACGTAGCTCCTCAGCATTCACATTCGGGCTTTGATGCAGGTTTGGGGATGCGTAGGTACCCATAGACATAGGCTCCATGGTAGTTCCTTTTTGGGATTACTTTATAGGATCCTAAATAGACACCACAAAAAGGAACTACTTTGGAGCCTGTGGGTAGAGCAGGGCTTGCTGTATAGGCTCTCTAGCAGGGTGCTCAGAAGGTTCTACGGTTGATGATATAAATCCTGCATTACCCATTATAAGGAATATACCATAATTCCCATAGTTCAGGGTCCTTAAAGCCTTAAGGTATTGCAGGATTTTTATCATCAACCGTAACAAGGACCTGTCGGGCTTGGGCTGCAGCTTCTCTCGCCATTCAAAGTCATCTTGGCAAAAGCAGCATACAAGGCCCTCCGGCTGGAAAAGGGGCTGGTCTAAGTACACCTAGCAGCTGTACTACCAACGCATACACCCCAAATATCCTAAACCTCCTCAACCTGAAACCGTTCCCCTAAGGGTCCAAGTACCTAATAATCATATACTCTTCTGAATACTAACCTACAAAACTACTATCCGTAACCCAGGTACATGATTATTAGGTCCTTTGGACCCTTAGGGTTCTAGTTCCGCCCAAGCTCAAGAGCAGCAGCGAATACCATGGGTTCACGAAATCTACCACGGGACGAAACTTCGACGGCCATCCGCCGCTATACGTGACCTGGGGAGCGGGTTTAGGGATTAGGGTTTAGGGTGGAAGGGCAAGGGGGAGCAATACAAGCTTTATGGGCATAGGATACGGTTGATGATAGAAATCCTGCGTGACCCATAATGAGGAATATACCATAATTCCCAAAGTTTAGGGCCCTTAGGGTAATGCAGGATTTATATCATCAACCGTAGTTTAGAGATTCAGGCTGCACAAGCCTAAACTCCCTCATCCTAGCATACTAACCCTAAACCCTAAACCCTAAACCCCTAAACTCCAAATTCAAAAATCCCTAAACCCGACACCACAAGGAAAGCCCCGCCCCAGAAGCCCAACTGCACACAGGCCTCGAACATGGTAAACAGTGCCTTCAGGAAGCTTCCGTAGAAACCTGCATTCTTGCTGTTTATAAGGGATGAACAAGGGTTTACAGGGTTTGGGGATTAGGTTTTAGGGTTTATACGAGTAGGGTTGGGGGTTTAAGGTTTTAGAAATTTAGGGTGCGAAAACTGTGTCACCACAGCTCCAGCGCTTGCAGAGCCTTGCAGGCTGTTGGGCTTAGAATGAGGCTAAGGAGTTTTGCGTCACCCTGATTCCAGGACAGCATATTGGAAACACATACCCTTCACTCTATGCTCTCATTTTGGCAGCTGAGATTCAGCTTATGAACAAGACCCCATGTACCAACCCCCAAAACCTTTTAAGGCAAGGAAACAAGTTTCTTAATCCTAGACCCTAAACCTTAACCCCTAAACCCTAAACCTTAAATCCTAAACCCACAATAACCAAGAGTCTGTTGATAAGCTTCCGGGTATCCAGATCTTGCCCCTCGTCCAGGACGAAGTCCTCCAAAGTTGGGGTTTGGGCTTCGGGCTTAGGGTTTAGGGCTCTGCGTTTAGGGTTTAGGGTTTACAGCTTAGGGTTTAGGGCCTAGGGTTTAGGGTTGAGGGATTAGGAATTAGGGCTGAGGGTTTAGGGATTAGGTTTCAGGGCGCTTTGGAGCTTAATAAGGTTCAAGGTTTGAGGTTTGGAGCTAGGGATTTTTTTATTTAAAGGGGCTCAAGGCTTGTCTGTTACAGGGCTTGGGGCGTGAATGTTTTGGGTTTAGGGGTTTGGGATTTGGCCAACGACGTTGTGTACGCAGCCGTCGCACTGGCACTGACACACTGGCATTGCTACATTGTGTGTTCGTCTCTCCCACACTATTTGTGCTATTGATAACTGGGGGTGTCCATTGTTTGACGAGCATCATGACTGCGATTGAAAGCTTGTTTGCTGATGTGTGAATTTGCTTGGAGCTGCAAACCCTAGTCGAAAAAATAAAGGCCTATAACCCTCACGTTACAAGCCCTGTCAAACCGTTTAAACCCTCCACAACACATAAACACATGTACCACCGTATGAAACCTACCAGACCTATGGACAAAGCCCTAAGAAGCATCCTACGAGCACTCGAAAATCGCTAATAGCATTGCGCATTCCTCTGGGTACACCCTCGACTCTAAACCTGAACCCTAAGCACTAAAAAGCTCAGGGCATTTCCTGGGGCCTGAGGGAGTAGCACAGCGTTTCTATGATCTAGGGGCTGGATAAGTCTTGCGGGGTCCTAAGAGTCTGGTATGGGGGCAGTGGCCGGGAGGGTGGTGGGGAAAGCTTGAGAGTTACACTCATACTGTGGAGGATATAACTCCTGCACTACCTGTTCAGGGCCCTAAACTCTGGGAATTATGGTCTGTTCCTTCTTATGGGTCAAGCAGGATTTGTATCATCAACCGTAGGAAGTGAAGGATTCCTAAACCCTAAACTTTCTTTTGGGATTTTCCAGGAACGGAGTATTCAAGTTGGAGCCTTCTAAATCAGAACGCTGCTTCTGGGATCGGCTGAACTATAAGGACTTCAAGCGACTATTCCTGTCCGAAAACCCCAAACTCTTGAGCCCTATCCTGGAAACATACATAGTCTTCCAAACACGTGCCTTGGCATAGAACTAGCATTGTGACGAGCACAAGAAACCCTGAGGAACATCCAACAAATTCAACCACCCTAAACCCTGAACTTCGAACCTTGAACCCTTAACCCCAAATTCAAAAGCCCTGAACACAAAACCAACAACCCTACGAAACACTACATTCCAACCAGTCCAATACTCAAGGTACAACAGAAGCCGCAATAATTGCTAAGATCATTCCGAAAGGCTCCTTCGCATAATTTTACAAGGTTTAGGGCTTAGGGCTTAGGGTGTAAATTATACTATGAGGAGCCTCGAATCCCTATTCTAATTTTTACGGCCCCTATATCATAGAGCCCTATTATAGGCGCTGTTCTAATCATGAAAGCCCCAAACCCTAAACCCTTAAACCCTAAACCCATTGAGGCCCTGCTATTAACTGCAAGTCGCCTGGAGAGCCTGTGAGATCATCAAGGCAAAGCCCACCTTTCTCCCAACGGGTCCTATGTATTCTACCTACCATGGTTCCTTTAAGAGTTTTGGTCTTTAGGATTCTTTTCTCAGGCTCCCTAAGTCCCTATACCGAAGAATGTAGGCTGTCTATATTGGGAACAACTATTCTGAGTTAGGGAAGTATCCCCGATAACAGCACCTACTGCTGATGATACAAAACCTGCAATACCTTAAGGATCCTATAAACTATGGGAATTATGGTATAGTCCTCCGCATTATGGGTAATGCAGGATTTAAATCAACAGCCGTAGGACCCTCTGGGTTTGCCTTGCCCTCAGAGTCGATCCTAAATGGAGTTTCGAAGTTTGGGGGTTTAGGTGTGTAGGGGTAAGGTTTAGGGTTTAGGGTTAGGGGTTTAGGGGTTTGGGGGTGTAGGGGTAAGGTTTAGAGTTTAGGGTTTAGGTTCCAACTACATGGTTGACGGAGTCTTTGTGGACGTTATCATGGTTGCCGCGGGGCGGTATGTCAGCCGGTTGGCGTAAGCAACTGAAGACGCCGAAAAAGCAGAATTTCCGAAAGGCCCAGATGATGCCAGAAAATCCGAAGACGTCTAAACCTCAAAACCCTCGCAAATACCGAGTCGAAATCCCCAGAAGTGAAGGAAAGCATAGGGGCAAATACGCGCCACGATCCAAACTACATGGGTAATTCACTGTCAGAATCATGGTCCACCCTATAGTTTGGGAACCCCAAAACGCATCCTAGTTTTGACAACCACCAAGCGGAGTCAGGCTTCAGGGTTCTAGTGTGTAGGACTTACGGTTTAGCGTCGTAGGGTTTGGGATTTAGTTAGCATATTTTGGGGGGGCAGCGCTTAGGATTTAGACGGTCTTGGAGCTACTTGGTTGAGGGATTGAGGCAAAGTCTAGGCTGATTTGGAAGTCAGATCAACAATTTGGAGATGTACTTCAACAGAAAAGGAGAAGCACTTCAGTCCAAGGTAGGACACCCCTGATAGCTGATGTCTCTAAACCCTAAACCCTAAACCCCTAAACCCCTTAAGCCCTAAGCCCTAAATCCTAAACCCTATAAACCCTAAACCCTAAGCCCTATAACCCCTAAACCCTAAACCACCACCCCACTATGTCCCTCAGACCCAGACACCACCCAACCGCCACTTGGTCTCAGCTTTCAGCCTCGAGTATGTTGGCTCCAAGGCCTACTGTTGCGGTTCTGGACGCCCTAAACCCTAAGCCCTATAGCCTAAACCCTGAACCCTATAGCCTAAACCCTAAATCCTAAACCCTACATCCAAAATCCTAAATCCTGAAACTTAAATCCTAAACCCTAAATCCTAAACCCTACATCCTAAACCCGAAACCTTAAACCATAAATCCTAAACCCTAAACCTAAACCCTAAATCCTCATCCCTGGACCCTACATCCTAAACCCTAAACCCTACATCCTATCCTAAACCCTAAACCCTACATCCTAGATCCTAAACCCTAAACCCCAAACCTTCAGTGTAGGCCTTCACCACCAGCAGGAGCACGATGGACCAGAATAGGGTGCCAAGGCCTCCGCTGTGCAATAACAGAAGGCTTGCCGGCTTGGGAGTCGTTTTTTCGAATTTTAAGGTTTAGGGTTTAGGGTTTGTTTGGGGTTTGGGGTTCTTTTTTTTTGTATTTTTGGGTTTAGGGTTTAGGGGTTCGGGGGTTGAGGTTTAGGCTTTGGTGTTGACGGCTTAGGTTTTGGGGCTTAGGATTTCGGGTCGGGGATGTCGGCTTGGAGCTTGGGGTCTAGGCCTTTGGGTTTACCTAAACCCTCGACAGTAGGGTTTAGGGTTTAGGGTAGGTAGAATACTTGCCCAACACCTATAAAAGCCTATGACTCCACATACTTTTGGGGCCCAGGGTAAGGTTTGTCAG